GTTCTATTGCTTTTTTCCCGCAGTATCAAATACAGATCTGTAAAAATTAGTTATATTCTTTTAAATGTATAGTAACTAGCTCTAGCTGAGTAGTTTTTTCGACAAAAATAAGAATTTCAATAAGGTACGTCACTTTTCGAATAATTAAAGCATAAAGTTTGAAAATTTTAATCATGAAAACCAAAGCGTTGCGCTTTTGAATTTTAGGAATATAAATTAGGGAAACGGTTCATATGTAGAAGCACTTTATTCACCTTCCCTTAAATATTTTAATAGAGAATCTTCTCAGAATAAGTAACTTCAAATGGAATGTTCGAAAAGTTGGGTTGTAATTTTAAAATAATAGTAATTTTGAATAATTTACTCTTTATTAGTTAATCATTATTAAAACAATTCTTAAATATGCCATGCATTTGAAATCACAAAACTGAGTTAAAGATACGCAGGAATAATACTTTAAAACATTTAATATCATTTTATAATACTGTCATTATATATTAACCCTAAACCTCTCTCTCTCCTATCTATAATATAAGTAATATTTGATTACTAATTTATTTAAAAAGCTGAGTATTCAAAGATCTAAAGCGAATTTCTTACATTTCGAATAAATTTTAGGAAACATGCTGAAGTTTTGTCAGATATTCTGAGATTCTATCTAAACTTTACGAGAACAAGTTTCGATCAAATATCATAATTCGTTAATACATTGAAGTATATAATTAATTATACGTATATGGTTATATCATGTTTCTGAATAAAGAGCGTTGCTTAAAGGTTAGAGGCGAGCGGGTAAGAGTCTTGAGATCTTTTGGATCCGACGGGAAAGTGAGACAGATCAATCTCATCCATGGGGTAGTCTGGTCTGTATCTTTTCTTATCGAAACTTGACCTGTAATAAAAGTAGAAGTTAAGCGAAATACGAACGAATATTTGAAAAAGTTAATTAAATGCCTCATTTTATATTAATACTATTTAGAAATTTTAATAGCGTATTTCGAATAATCAACCCGTTGTCGGAGCCCGTAGACACTAGAAGGTGACGTAACTCACAGAATTACATTCCTTAGATTATTATTACGTTAACAAAGTTTCATCAAATAAGTCCTCGTGAAGTCCCGTCAACCATAATTATAATAATTATTTCATTAATGACAGCTCACAGTACGAATTCTTCGAACAATTATCAATTATCTAAAATGCCTGTATTCTTTCTTGTTCGGAATTTATTATCAGATATGTTGAGAATTTTGATATCGCTGAGAGTTCGTTTGAATCAAATAAATTATATTATATCACTAGCGACCCGCCCTCGCTTCGCTTCGGAAACATTAAAACACACATGAAACCAAAAAAAAAAAAATATTAAAAAAAAAATAGCCTATGTTCATCAGGGACAATGTCGGCTTCTAAGGGAAAAATAATTTTTCAAATCGGTCCAGTAGTTTCGGAGCCTATTCGAAACAAACAAACAAACAAATCTTTCCTCTTTATAATATTAGTATAGATGTAAAAATGATTCAACATTGAAATATTTTAAGAAAAGTTTCATGTTATTACTACATTATAAAGTACAGTTGTATGAATACACCTCATACCTTTGAAAATAAGCGCCAGCATGACTCTTAATGAATTCTGCTTGGGTTATTTCATTCCCTTTGCAAGTTCTACTTAAAATGTTGTTTTAGGTTCGTCGATTCTAATTTCAGTACGTTACAAAAATTATGTAAACGAGACGAGCTACCAAAGTAAGATGAATTTAAATGTAATGATAAGTGACTGAGGCTTACACCGTAAATTAGTGTTAAATTTGATAATTTCAATGTATTTAAAATCTCTAGGGTATTTACGTGAAACAGGAAAGAGCAATTTATTATTCTCTTTACTTGTTAGTTTCAAAATTTATCTTATCGTACTTTGAGAATTGATTAATATCATAGCGGTCGTAAGCATATATCGGAAGACTGGAATGTTCACATATTTTGGCGTTGAAAAAGATTCCATGATTGTACGTGAGGGAATCCGGATATTACATATAAATAAGAACTAATCTCTTGTTTACCTTAGAAAACCACTATATATATAAATTCAATATTAAGAATGTTATGAAAAAAAAAAATTAAGTTGTTAAATCGAATGAAAAAACAAGGCCTCAGTCATAAGTAACACTCATATTGTGTGATCACTACAATGTCAGAAAAGTGACAATGAATCGTTTGAGAAAAAATATTTTAATGGTTAGTTAAGGTTTTTTTCATTGCTTAGATGGGTGGACGAGCTCACAGCCCACCTGGTGTTAAGTGGTTACTGGAGCCCATAGACGTCCACAACGTAAATGCGCCACCCACCCTGAGATATAAGTTCTATGGTCTCAAGTATAGTTACTACAAGTCAATGTATGTTACTTTGACGTGACAGCCGTCTTACACTGGTGAATCAATGTCAAGGAAGTTTTGTCCGTACAGGTGATAGAAACGTTTTATGGCGTACGGGAACGGCATAGAGGAGCGGTCGATCTCGTCGAAGTTGCGCTTCTTCACGAACGTGTTGAGGCTGGACCTAGAAATATTATACTAAAATTAGTAAATTACTAAACAAGTCACGGCAATTTTTTTGAAAATTTTTTTTATTGCTTTCTTGGGTGGACGAACTCACAGCCCACCTGGTGTTAAGTGGTTACTGGAGCCCGTAGACATCCACAACGTAAATGCGCCACCCACCTTGAGATATAAGTTCTAAAGTCTCAAGTATAGTTACAACGTGTACATTGTGTATCGCTACCTTATAGGTAATACAAGGACTAGTACTATAAGTATCAAGTCATATAGGTTCAGATGTATATATATGTATGTATGTATATATGTATCTATTTGTATGTATATGTCGGACACGTTGTATATTCTGTATCTATTGACATTATGTTTTCATTATCCTTACCTCTCACAGATGGAAACATAATGAATCATCGTAATAAAAATGGCAATTTCACTTAACAGAGAAAAATAACCTAAAAATCGAATAAAATCCCTATAACTATGAAAATGAATAATTTTTTTTAAGAGATATTGAGAGCTTTAACAATTAATGATAATCTAAATTCTCGATGAATGCGAAAGTAGATTATATAACAAATTTGTCCAATTCAAAAAAAGATCCTTTACTTAGGACAAAGGGTCAAAGTAACTCCATTGTACCGCTCACGCAATAATTTATAAAATTGTCGGCAAATATTGTGTCGCCGCTTAAAATTTCATAAAGTTGGCCTTCAAAAATTTTAAGGGTGCAGTTTTTTACTTGCGTCCTATCACGGGAATGTGAGTATACTCAAGCTGATTATTTTGTGAGAAAACAAGGAAAATAAATTATTTCATATTGTAAATCAACGACGTACCTACTATTCACTACGTTATTGGCTTAATAGGAGCAAATTTTATAATCCTAGTTTTTAATTTGATTCGCCGCGTATATACGTAATTTAATTCGAACATAGTTAATGTCATCACTCTGTTATCATGATCAACTATATTATGCGATCGTGGCGCACCNTTTTGTGAGAAAACAAGGAAAATAAATTATTTCATATTGTAAATCAACGACGTACCTACTATTCACTACGTTATTGGCTTAATAGGAGCAAATTTTATAATCCTAGTTTTTAATTTGATTCGCCGCGTATATACGTAATTTAATTCGAACATAGTTAATGTCATCACTCTGTTATCATGATCAACTATATTATGCGATCGTGGCGCACCTCTATTGTTTAGTCAAATTAGTCCACTCAAAGGTCAGGTGTGATCGAATTGACCCGGATTTACAGCCCAATATATTAATTAAAACACATAAACATTAACTTCAAGTGAATCATAATCAATACCGAAATTGGATTTTGAAAAAAAAAATGTAGTGACATCGTATCTTTTTATTCGCATGGGCTTTGATCATGAACCGAAATATTACTAGGTTCTTTTATAAATAATGTATTTCTTTGAACATCTATTCTACACTCTTGGGTTATTATTCATTGCTTTTTCACCATAGTAATAGTGCTCTCCAAAAGATATTAAAATTAACTCACCGATCGATTTCATCGAAATTACGTTTTGGGAAGCCATCTCCATAATATCCGCCATATTCAGCTGGCACCAGAGGCCAGGGTTCTCGTTTGCCATATGGACTACAAAAATGATAATATGATAAAATAAAATCTTCATGTTATTAATAAAAAAAATAGTAATGATGTGAGTAAATAAAATATTATATCCTAGAATGTTTGAATGCTTAGTTCAAATACATCATCAAATAACTAAAGGATATTAACTACAATTTAGCTGACTTCATCTTTTATAAAAGCCTCCATATATTTAGAGTGAAATATATATTTACAGTTATAGAAGACGATACAAGTATCATACATCACAGCGGGATCCCCAATCTATTCCACTAATTACTATATTTGGATTTAACGTCAATGTTATGGGATGTCTGTTTTATACACCCGAAAAATACGCTTTCGAAATTACATCTCAATTGAATATGGGAAATTCGAAAATAATGAGCGTGAAACCTCATTTTTTATTCAGTTCTAACCTGATGTAATCGTACCGCCTGAACATTTGATACGGTAGATATCCGGAGTGTCTTGCTTCCCTCACGTCTCGCACCAGATTACCGCCACCTAGAGGATCCAGATTCCTTGTTTTGTGACCTACATGTGTCATAATCATTATTTGCAATTCACTTTGTACACAGTTTTGAGTTGCCCAACAATTCGAATATTAAATTGTCGAAAATTACATTTGGCTACTCACCTCTGATTACTTTAAAACAGTAGTTAAAAATCGAATAATAACGCAAATTTGAGGTTGCAGTGTATTTATTTTTTTAACATCAAGTGACATTTGCTAAATTAGAACAAAATGTATTCGTATTTATCACATGTTTACGTTGTTTGAATTGTGGCTATTTTACTAAGACATTCAATGTTTTTTTCGGTGAATTTAAACAAAGTTAGCCCCTCCCAGAGCATCTAAGTTTCGTACCAAGTTACCACCTCCCAAAGAATCAAGATTACGCTTGACGAGGTTAGGACCACCTAGCTGGTCAAGATTCCTCTTCACGAAATTCGCTCCTCCGAGTGAATCTAAGTTTCTCACAAAGTTGGCCCCGCCCAAGGAATCCAAATTTCTTACGAAGTTCGCGCCACCGAGCGAGTCCAAGTTCCTTACAAAATTGGCACCACCAAGCGAGTCTAAGTTTCTGACAAAATTAGCTCCACCGAGCGAATCTAAGTTTCTGACAAAATTAGCTCCTCCAAGAGAGTCTAAGTTTCTGACAAAATTAGCTCCTCCAAGGGAGTCTAAGTTACGCACAAAGTTGCTACCTCCAAGAGGATCGAGAAATCTTGTAGATTCTGTTTTATCCCCTTCAGCGTTTCTTCCCAATAATGTAGATCCTCCAATACCGTTAAGATTTTTTCCAATGAGACTTGATCCGCCAAGACCATGAACGTTTCCACTCTGTAACATGCTAGATCCTCTTAAATGGTTCAAATTTCTACCGATAAGAGTGGATCCTCCAAGCCCGCCCAAATGCTTGCTCGAAAATGCGCCTCCCTCAATTCCATTCGCATTTCTTCCAATAAGCGAACTTCCTCCAATTCCGTTTAGATTACGATTTTCATAACGTACAAGAAATCGTAAAATGTCGGCAATATCTTCTTTTTGTTTATACTCTGCAACCATAAACGGTATAAACACCTTAATATTGTAATATTCAAATTATATCTCCAGTAATGTGCATAAAAAGATTTACTCACCATCTACAGCGAACAGTATAAGCCACGTGAGGTTTTTGTGCAAAATCATAGTTGAAAATGTGCAAACCATTCACCAGAAGTCCGGAATAAGTGAACAATACAATATTCAATCCTGAACTAAGTGCACGCGAAAGAAACTTTTATATTTTACAGGTCAGTGCAAAAGAATCAAATCCTGAATTGTGATTTTGAAGTGGTGTACAGTTTGTGCATGTGAATTCATAGATTGTGATTAATTAACAATTTTCTAAAATAGAAAACAATCGGTATCGGATTGGGTTTATTGTTCGAATAAAATTTCGCACACGTGAAATGTNCAATCCTGAACTAAGTGCACGCGAAAGAAACTTTTATATTTTACAGGTCAGTGCAAAAGAATCAAATCCTGAATTGTGATTTTGAAGTGGTGTACAGTTTGTGCATGTGAATTCATAGATTGTGATTAATTAACAATTTTCTAAAATAGAAAACAATCGGTATCGGATTGGGTTTATTGTTCGAATAAAATTTCGCACACGTGAAATGTAAAATAAATTCAATTCAAGTATAGACAATCCAATACAGATCATGTTTCTTAAAGTAACGTCTTCACGGTTGGCTTATTTTCAGTGCCAAATACTAAAACGTGAGCGGCTCGTGTGCGATTATTTAAAATATTGTGTAGATAGTCATTTAGATGTGTGCTTTGTGAGTTTTTTTATGTAATTCTTACCGGCGGCATCGTAGCGTTCCCCAGAGGTATGATCGTTGCCAGACACGTCTTGTTCCTAAAGGATGATATAATACGTATTTGTGATTAACACAATGTTATTAATTAAGAACGAGGTATAGAAACTAAAAAGTATTAGTGTTCATAACTATCTGGTGTTATGCCGTAACTGACTAAACGTACTCTGAGTTTTAAACCACCATACTGCGATTTCTTTTGCTGGCGTTAGGTGCTATTATGAGCAGTTATAATTAGATAGGTACCAGTATTCTGCTTATTTCGACCGCAATATGATCATGCATTATATTTTGAAGGGTGGAACAGTCGTTCTATGATACAATAAAGATTTCATGACTCAGAGTGTGTATCGGCATTCACAGTATGATGTTCAAGGGCTACGGTGATCATTTAATGTCAGGTGGGGTTTTATATTGTCTAATCATCAAAAGAAAAATAGTTTTTCCATTTCTCCCTGTCCCACTCTTCAAACCAAATTATTTATACCTTCCAAAAATATATAGGAACCTTTCATAATTTGATCCAATTATCTACTCGTTACGGATCATAATACACTCTATCATTAGTATAATAATAAAATCTTCTTATTATCTGTGATTTAATACGTGGTCCTTGCCAGTAAATTGCATAAAGTATAGTTTTACCTAAACAGAGAACTTCCGAAACAAGGTCCCGTTGTTTGCACTGATAATTACTTTGAGAACTTCAATTAAAGAAGACTAGTTTTAACTTTGAGTTGAGAGGGTGAGGAAAGATACGAAATGTAAGCCTCCCTTTTGGGGCTTTTGTTGCTAATTTATTATTTAAATGAGAAATTTATTTTAAGTTCCAATGATTAGTAACTGATTGGGGGCTTAAATGGCTAGTCTGTCTTACTAAGAGCATGAACTGATTGGAATTTGTACAACTAATTGATATTCTGTATACAGTGGATACCTTTATAAAAGAAAGAAAAGTGGGAAATTCAATTTCTCTAAACTGACTAAAGCTACTTTTACGATTTTCTATTTTATCGTCAAAGTTGTGTTCAAAATACAATCTTGTAAAAAAGGTAGCTGTTCGGTAATGGATATAAAATAGTTTAATGGTACACAATGCGCAAGTGTGCTATAGATAAAATGCTAATTATCTAATGTATGTACGTAAATAAGGCTGGGTTTTATGGGATTCCAAATCAGAATAAATAGGTTCTTTTTTGGGACATTTTCGATAACATCGATTCAATCATCGATAGTATTAGAATTGTTGAAATTTACCTGGTGAGGATCAGCGCTGCAACAGACAAGCAGTGCAGTCACTGCCACGGCAAGCACTCCAGCAGTTCCTCGCATTGTAGTACCTTTACAAAATTGGAAGCATTCAGAGAATTAGTCGAGTAGTTTCTTTTTTTTTTCCTACCTATGCTGAATAGCCTTTAGAGGCTATTTCAGGGTCACCCTAACGTGTAGGTGAGCTCACGGGGCTCAAACCGGAGTGTTGCTAACACTGATTCTAGCAAGAGCAGTGCTTCGCAGAACCGGATTCTACCACCGGATCGGAAACGCGACCTACTGAGAAGATCCGGCGAGAAACTCAGTGGGATGTGTCTATCTATGGGTTAATTCGCTCGTCGAGCCCTTCGTCGCAAGCAGCGTGTTCGACGAGGACGGTGACCGGGCGAGTGGTTAGTGACCTTGACCATATATACCACGTCGTAGTCAATTTTTTTATATTACTTTTCGTATATATTTTACGAAATTTAGTAAGTAATTTATATTTATATATAGCGCTCATGAAAACAACAGCCTGCTGACAAACTGAGGCAACATGATGAATGGATTTAGAACTTAATTTTTAGTTGCATAATTATTTTGTAGTTAAAGTAGACAATGGTATGTGGTTTTTTCCATTAAAATAATTGGAGGAGCGTCACTCTTTGCGGCGACTATTGCTAAATGTACGAAATAAGCGTGCTCATTTCCTGAAATGAATTTTATGCCATCTATTTTAAATTTATGAGACCTAACATAACCTAACTAAATCTATATATATAGTGCCAAAGTAATAAGTTTCAACCGAACGAACGAAATGCACAGTAGTTAGACAAACTAATACACAAATTTAAATTTTACAACATTTATTTTGCTTATGTTAAATCCCATATTTATGAAATACTAGCTGACCCGGCAGACTTCGTAGTGCCTCAATCGAAAAAATAAAAGAGCAAAATTTTGTATAAAATAAACTTAAAACAAACAAAAGGAATCCGGCCGACGGGGGACACGTCAAAGGAAAAAGAAAGTTGTTATTTTTATTTAATTCTGAGCATTTTCATATTTATCTACCTTTTAAACCTTTTCTGGACTAACATAAATAATTCAAGACCAAAATTAGCAAAATCGGTTCAGCCGTTCTCGAGTTTTAGCGAGACTAACGAACAGTAATTCATTTTTATATACTTTATATATTACATAGAATGATACCAATCACAATTAAATGTTTAAAATATATTCACTAAAAACTACATAATTTGGGGACGTTTTTATAATTTTTAATGTCCAATACTAAATAGTGTATACAAAGTGATCCTTTTATTTCAAGTCTACATATAATAGTATGGGATTAAATTGCTGAAGTACACAGATAGTCTTTTACGAGTCTTCAGGACCTCATGTTAAAGAAACGTTATGATCGTCGACTCAACTAGAATATTACGTTTTAGCTACGAGACTCGACCTCCTTTAACTGACGGTTTTACTTACCTTTTGGGATTTACAAGACTTGAGTAATAAAATCAAATGACAAAAAAATTCTCACTTTTCCACAAGCCGGATCGAATAAGAGTTTTATGTAATTTATATTCATATAATAGAAGAAAAATATATGATAATTATTGAAACATTAATTTTTTTTTATAATGTTACTGTCAGATAAATGCTAGATTGAAGAAAATACCTACAATCAATAAAGAATCAAACTATTTTTATATATTCGTCAGGAAAATATAACAAATTAGATAATGTATTATATTATGTGAAGATGCAGTGTGATATTACCCGAATATATAATAAATAAATACAGAATTCAATGACGCAAACAATATCAAACACAATATGTAAACCAGAAAATATTATGTCACAGAATATATCTTTTTTCGTTAACTTTATATCGCCTAAGCCATATAAGAGAAAGTTACACCTACTAGTGATATAAACTAACTGTATGAACTAGGTTTTTTATTCCTATATGTTTATTATTATTTTTGACTAATACCTTTTTATGAAAGCGTATTATAGCATTCCATCAGTAACCGTATCCATATGTGTGGATCAAGAGATGCTCTTATCTGAAGTATTTCAATAAAACATCACTCATATATACGCGATAATATTGAATTATTATTATCGAGTTGCGCGTCAGTAAACTTTTTATTATTTTCTGGCTATTCCATTGGTTTTTATAAAGATATTAAAGCATTTGGAGGTTATTTTCAGACACCGTTTTTTAACAATCAATACTACGCTCTTTTTTGTTAAAATTTATTTAATAATAAAATTTTGAAGACATCAACGCGCACACGGTATTACAATATAAATTTAGCACGTAGCAAAACGCTACGAATTTTTATCGTTTCGTAGACGATTGCTACGAGTGAATATTTTTACTTAAATAAAATAGCGATAGCATTTAAATTAGTTCCTTGACTTTATTGGAACGATAGTAAGACTGTTCGTCTATCTTCATACGAATACTAATGGCATATCCCAAAGAGAACAATGAGACATTATTGCCGATGAGTAAAGGAACTCAACAGATGCTAGGTGATCAATACAACAACGCAACCGGTGCTGCCTGCTTTAAGACACAAAGTTCACAGCCTTTTTACAAATAAATATCAGCGGATGTATTCTTCGACATGGAATGCACGAGCGTGCAACGGAAACGACCGGTTTTTAAAACGTAAATTATTTAGATCAGTTAAATATGTATATGATAAAGATATTACAAATACAAAGGTAAAGATACTAATTATATAATAGAAACTGGCGATTACTGTACATATATAAGTAGCCGTATGGAAATATCCTTTGGCTTTAGGAGCATAAAACTTTTGTAGTTGTGATTGACAAACGACGAATTTATTCTGTAAGTCAATTATCACACAGAGCTGTCTCAAGGTGTGGTTGGATACGATATGACAGGCAATTTTACTTAAATTTAGTGAGGTGGAAAGGTAAAGCCTAGTGTTCGCAGTGATAACTTTAACCCTCAACTATTTTTGTTCCGAATACTGTTTAATATTATATCTTTACTGTTACTATTTGTGCAGGTTTTTGTTTATTTTATCTGTATTCATTCAATTTAGATAATTTATCAGAAACGGTTTTGTAAAGCTACAGCTTTAAAGCCACAGCTATTTTAATATTTTATGTTGCAAAGCTTGATGTCTGTTAGCACCTCATATTTATCAACGATCTGGGTTAATGGCCATGAAAGAACTTTTATTACTCTTTCTTATCTCTATTTAAAGTCAGCTCGTTCGTGTTGAGTGTGATATATTTATTTTATTTCTCAATATACATCATTTGCTTTGAAAGTTACGCTATAAAGTGTAAACAATATGAAATATGGTAACAATGTGAATCATATTGCGTTTTATGTTCTATTCATGACAGCAACTCTCATTTTCAATGTTTTTATTTTGGTGAATATTAATTTTACATTTTAATTTAGATGTTTTCAAAAGCTATATAACATCCATTTTTAAACAATTTAAATGCTCTATTTGCTGCTTACATTTAATTAGTGCTTGATGGAAATAATTATTCTCAAGATGAATAGGAAATATGTAATTTTTAATACGCTTTTATTAGTTTCAGACGTATGTATGTTTGTAACGGAATCTTTGAGCATGATTTTGACCCCCTTCAAAAACTCGAAATTTGGTACACTTATTAAGGACCGATGACAATTCAATATTAAAAAAAAATAGAAAAAAAATAGAAATTAAAAAAACTAACAAAATACGCTTTTATAGAAAATCCAACTAAAAAATAGAAAATAAATTTTATTAGATTTGAATTAAAAATAGTTTTATTGTAAAAAAAGCGTGAGGTGCATGGTATCGGTAGTTATAAATACTTTATGAACAGATATGAGTTGAAGGGTTATTTTGATAATATCCTGAAAAGCACCCCACGCTTTTTTACAATAAAATAATTTTTTCTTACACTATTTTGAATTCAAATTTATTTTAGTTGGAATTTCTATAAAAGCGTATTTTGTTAGTTTTTTTAACTATTATTTATTTTATTTAGCTTATCCGTCTAGTTACTGAAGTATTTCTAAGTGCAATCAATCGTCTCTAGTTTCAAAACCGATGCTTTGTAATTTGACTTTGTATATCTTTCAAATACTTCGCCAATCGAAGCATTATAAATAGGATAACAAACAATTATGTTACACGTGTGACAAACACGGTCTTTGCTTGGGTCAAAGCAATTTTAATTCTAAAGATAGGATCAGTATGTTGACTGCAATTATATATCAAGTGACTCGCATATTTTATATTCAGAAAAGTTGAAGGCGAAATTTGGTCTTCTTTATTTTTAACTAGATAAATTTGAATGTTCTTTTCTGTCATTCTCAAAATGGAGTTCTTGAAATTTAACTTAAATACAGTTGGCATTTGGGAAAATTATAGGAGGAGTGTTTAAATGAACAGAAAAATTCGTCAAATTCACAAATTAAATTGGAAGTTTAATTTTAGTTATATATGTCGAAATCTTTATAGGACACGAATTTCGTATAAAATGTATGAATAATAACTGGCATATTCGAAGTAAAAGTATATAGTAACACGTTAGAGTCGATTAAAAATGATAAGACGGATACCGAATCATGGGCCTTTAAATTTGTAGTAAAAGTTCAAGCAAAATATTTTATAAATTAGTTTCGCGATTATTACTACTGGTTTATTATTACAGGTGGTAGGGCCTCTTGTGAGTCCGCACGGGTAGGTACCACCACCCTGCCTATTTCTGCCGTGAAGCAGTAATGCGTTTCGGTTTGAAGGGTGGGGCAGCCGTTGTAACTATACTTGAGACCTTAGAATTTAAATCTTAAGGTGGGTGGCGCATTTCCGTCGTAGATGTCTATGGGCTCCAGTAATCACTTAACACCAGGCGGGCTGTGAGCTCGTCCACCCATTTAAGCAATAAAAAAATATTCTAAATAAACACGTGTGTAATTATGTTAAAAATAATAGGAATATTTTCTTTTTTATATAGACTCCGTAATTTTTTTTGCTTCTAAATTAATGATTTAATCGATTAATGATTTGGTAATCAAG